AATGTCTAAAGTGATCAGAACAGTTGCTAAATCTAGTAACTGAGCTGCACACATAGTCATGTTTGTGCAGAATACTTTCCTATCGAAATTAGGGTTACGCCATCATATTAACTTTGAACATTGGTGGAGTGTTTGCTCTTCTCTTCATTTCTCGAAAACGCATCTTACACTTTATTTCACTAAGGGTTTAAACACTAATATAACATTAACATTTATTTGTTTACTGATATACTCCTTACATTTGATTGCCAAATTATGACCAAAAAGTTCTTTAAAAGAACAATCACAGAAGGCAAAGAACCAATTATCTAAAACGTCACTGACTTCTGACTTAGGCAGTTAATTTAATACAATTGTATTGTAACGTTTGCATTATGAAATGGTTCAAACACTTTCTAAAAAAAGCTCTAAATTAGTTAAAACCTAATTCAACCTCATTCCAAACACTTAATTTTAAACCTTGTTTCCTCACAGAAAATCATGGCTAACTAATATCAATGGATCATTATATTTATTATGGTTTTCAACCATTTTAATTTATTTTCTATGTGTACACTGGTTGTCCTAACCCACAGTCAGTTGGGCATGTGTTCACAGAACAACATACGACAGTCTGAGAGATATTTGATTAAATAACAGTTTTAACAGCATTTAATTGCACAACATTCATTTGCTGCCCTCCAGGTGAGGATGTCATTTTAATCCCATTAAAACCAGTAAATATTTGTATATTCTGGTCCCGTCAACATTGGAGAAATAATGATTTACATAATGATTGTTTGCAGTAAAATACTGTTTTTTGCAGCATTCTAGATGTTGTTCAGGTGAATTATTATTGAAAAATGCATTGTGAAGATGGAAATTGCTAATGCTGGAAATGGGGCCCTGTTGACAAGTTTGATCGTATTTATTAAGAAGTGGATTTCATCAGTTAAAGGAAGTAAACAAATACTTTTTACAGTATAAGATGCATAAAAATAACAATATGAACAATTTAATGCAACTGGCCATTTTTAAAATCTTCCTGTGACGTAAACGAAAGATGGTAAATGAAGCCAGACATGTATTAATGCTGCACTGCAAAAAAATGTTAATCTAAATAAGTATTTTTTTCTTAAAATATGTGCATTTTTTTTCTTGAATTGAGGAGGTAAGTTCAACACTTTGCCAATGGAACAAGACAATTTACATTTGAAATAAGAAAAAAAAACGATTGAATTGTCTTATTTTAAGAGCATATTATCTAATTATCTTATTTTAAGAGAAAAAATACTAATTCCATTGGCAAATCATCTTATCAACCTACTCAATTTAAGGGTAAATACGCTTGATTTAAGAAAATTTTTACTTATTTTCAGACTCTGATTTTTGCAGTGTAGGCTTCTGCACTCTGTTGAAACATGAACACAGCTGTGGGCTCTCTTGCTGTTGACCTTTGAGCCAAAGCCGTCCACATTCACAGGCTAAGCCGTGCCTGGTACCATCTCTGTTGGTGCTCTGTCAAGATTAAAAAAACAAAAAAATAACTGGTTCTTGGAAATCAGTCAGTTTCTTCTTCTAGATTTAACTTTAAAGAAGATGAGCTCCTTTTTTAAATCACTTTTTTATTTACTTTATCTGTCTGTAATCTCTTGTTGCCCCCTTTTGAAGACAGAATCATAGGAGGTCAGGTTAAAAAGTTGATAAAGCTTAGCCTTTAAAGTTTGAACTGATATTTGCGGCTTGTAACTTTGCATTGAACAACATGATTATCACTTTAAGGCAGGAATAAACATAAGATATTTGGTTACATGCATAGTGAAATAATTCCTACTATAATTCATGAGTGAAAATATGTGTTTGCAGGAATGTGTCATATGCGCTGCATCCTACTGGGGATAAAAACATGAAAAGGATGAATTTCGAAGAAAGGCTTTAGTCTTTATCCCCAAATCCCCCCCTAACAACCATCACCTGTCCTACTACAGGGAAATCTCTGTAAACAAAAACAACAGGGTCGAGGGGCAAGAGACCACGTAAAACCTGATAAGAAATCACATAAAAGTACATGCTGTCCCCTTCCAGAATACCGCTCTGTCATAACCATCAAGCACACAGATGGAAATTTGGGGGTGGGGACCTTTGCAAGAGTTTAAAAACGGTCATGCTCTTTTAGAGCGTGTTTGGCTCAGCAGCACACTGCAAAAAATGTCTGTATAACCACGTCTTACAAGTCCAATCTAGCCAAAATAAAATTATTTTTACCTTTTTTTTACCTCTTCTGAGAGTATTATACTAAACAAGAACAGATTCTGTTTGGATTATTAATCTTCTACAAACATTCTGTTCAAAATAACTAACAATCTGCAGTAAGACAAACTCATTATCATGAGATACACTTACTGAGTGTGATTGTCTTACTGAACTATAAAAGGTTCTATTTTTTTTTAGTAGAAGCTTCTCAAGAGAAGATTAATAATCTAACAGTATCTCCTCTTGCTTTGTATACCTACATATACCAAAACAAGATCAAGAAGACTTTATGTTAAATATAAGATTGTTGGATTTGGTTGGATGGGCTGCAGTGCGGCTGGAATTCCTGGCCCGGGGTCTTTCTACATGGAGTTTGCATGATCTCCCTGTGCATGTGATGGTTCTCTCCAGGTGCTCCGGTCTCCTCTCACCGTCCAAAAATATGACTGTTAGGTTAATTGGCGTCTCTAAATTGGCCTTAGTTTGTGTGCATGGTTCTGTGTCTCTATGTTGCACTGCATCAGAATGGCAACCTGTCCAGGGTGTACCCATAGAATGATGGAGATAAGCACCAGCCCCACCATGACCCTGACAGGCCTTAAGGGCTGGTTATCGTCCCGCAGCAGTGTCGCAGGGAGCTTGTCGCAGATATTTTTGATTTATGCCCAATTTTGAAGCGTGGTCTGTGCTATGTTATTCCACGCCACAAAAGGGGCAATCAGGAACTAACTGTGGGTCTAGATACGGCCGAGGTGGTGAGGAAATGGGTGCAAGTTTGTGTGACAATGGAGGGACATGAGGGCGAAAAAGAGCGGGGATCCAGATGGAAAACAGGGTTTGTTTTCTACAATGGCGGTCATACAAACAAAACAAGCCAGTAAGGTACCATATAGGAAACATGCATAGAGTAGAGCGGATGTAGATTTGACCAATCAGAGGCCTGCAGCAGAGTGTCTGCAGCAGGGGGCGGAGGCATATTTGCATTCACTGCGACACAAACGCAGACGACTGGGTTTCTAATTATAAATCAGCCTTAATGCCCTTTCCCACTGGCCGAAAACCCCTTTTAATCCCAGGAACAGTCGGCTTTTAGTGGCAGTGGAAACGGCTCACTGACGCTTCTCTACCCGGGTCAAACAATTCGCCCAGTTACTTGTGTTAAATCCCCTCAGCTCTGACTGACATGCTGTTTGAACACCAGACTGGACTTGACACGCTAATTTACATGATACCACTGAACGCAACGTCAGGAGGTCAAGACACAGCACCGGTCAGGTCTGATCTAACAAGCCAAATCAACTTTGTTTACATTCGTTAAACATGGCGCAGCACTGGTAAGAGGGATTCAGACAGATAATAGAGCGAAACAATAAAGCACACTGGCTACACCCTGGCTTCATTACATCATTCTCTCCATTATTTTTTCCTTTTTTGATTTCTGCTGCACTGGTGACATAATCATTGCCCAACATAATGGTGTCACCAGACATGCAGCTGTGGGGGACACAGGCCACCCAGCTCACATCGAGGGGTTAGACTCAACTAATCAGCTTAATGCTGATTGTTATAGCAGGTCGATCCATGTTTGAAAAACAGTTAACACGCTGTTTTCATAGGGAAAGAGGCTTAAGTAGGAGAAGATGGATGGATGGATGGATGGATGAATTTGGTTAGATGGACATTTTTTTTCAGTGTAAAAACATTGTTGGCATTGGTCTTAGGAAAAAAGAGACTCCTCTTATCACAGTATGCCAGAGTTCATGTTACAGTACCTCTCTCAACTGAAGTCTTAACTGAAGATGAAATATTTACTTTGTATCCACAGAACCTCTGACTTTGAAACCTCTGACCTAAATTCCCTGTTTCTGACTGGAATGAAAACAAATGTTTTACATTTATTCTAATAGTTAATTTTCTCTCCAGATGATTCGAAAACCCCTAGTATCTTTCAAAACACTAAAGCCATAGTGTCATGATTTTATCAAAGGCTTGGACCCACATGCAGTGAAACCAAACAGAGAGACACAGATGAAAAGTTTGACGGATTTTATTGAAGAAGTTAAGCTCGGTGCAAAGTTGCTCTGAACTCTGCTCAGCCGGAACTGGAAGATGAGGGGAAGACAGACTATTAGTTCAGGCTCAGTGGGAAATTTGATTCGTTGATTTGAAGCAGAGGATCTGGCTATTGACTCACGTTTCCAGAGAGGTGAAGAATCCTTGACTCCAATCTGTGTGTTGGTTTTCCAGAGTTTGTCTGACTCGGTGGAGGGAGACGCTAATTGCCGCTCAGATTTCCTGCTGTACTTGAACGGGTCTTGGTGAAGATGATTCCCTTCCCCTCAGAGAGTAATTTAAACGTCCTCTCAAGGAGACTGGATCCAAACCTCCTGTTTGAATCCCTGGCTCAGTTTAGACTCAGTTGATCCCTCCTGGGAGAGGAGGTCCGAAAAGGTCCAGTTTGCAGGATGACTTCCTGCCGAGAGGCAAAGACAAAAAACAAAATTAAAACTCAGGGAGACAAGAACTCAGTCTGTCTCAGAGAAAACTCAGCTTGGCTAGATTGCCAAAAACTGGCAAACACTCTGGCATCGAGGTAGTGGCAATCAGCAGCTTAAGAGCACAGGTGTGTGAGGAGGCGAACCGGAACCAGGCGCCTCCTGCTGGTGGAAGGGAGACAAACACAAAACAAACACACAGACAGGAGCCCTGACACATAGTAGATACAATGCAGCCCACCGCCGGTTCTTTATCATCTTTATCTGTTGCAGAGCTTCCAGAGAACTGGACGGATACACGGGAGACCATTTTAGAGGGGATGACCTTTAACCTCCAGCACCTCGGCATGACACTAGTAGATCAACCTAAAGGTGAGCAGCTGTCGGCTGCTGCTGTGAAGAGGATCGTTGCTACGGTCAGTGGAGGAGAGCTTCAGCTCCACTTTTAAGCAGATTTAATATGTCATCCTGCTCATCATCCTTATGCATTTATTTCATATTAATTATTGATTTTGATCATTATAACTAAAGATGCAGGCATCCACATTTTATTAACTTCTGATCCCATTCTTGTACTTGAATTTGGATATATAATAATAATACATTTTATTTGTATATGGGGCTCTGTTTACTTTAAAGCTATCATTGTTACTGTTTAATTCTTCAGTAGGCTGTCATAAACTCCTCTCTAAATGCATCTATATGTATTATAGACATGTTTATCTCATTGAAAATCTTGAGGTTAGAATGAGGTCACTGATTTATGTGCAGTAAACAGTGTCAACAGAACACATTCTATGGTGTTCCTTTGTGAAATATGAAATGTTCAAAGCAATATAATGTAATAAGAACATACATTTATAAATATATAATTTCTAAATCCAATATTTATGTTCATTTATCAAGTTAGATATTTAGCACTGAACTAAATATTTAGTTAGCAAAACTAAATATTTAGCTTACAAACTAAATATTTAGGTCCAATCTTAATGTTGAAGAGACATTTTGTAAGTTTTTACTGAAAAATCTTTTTAAGATACCATTTTTATTTGACCCTTTACAACTAAAACATCAGTTGATGAGCAGAGTGAGACCTCACTAGTTCAGCTCCAATGCATCTATAAGTCTTTAGCCTATTTTCCTGAATTTATTTTAGGTCAGAAGTTCCCGCGCTCTTCTGCAGATGTGACGTAAAGTGCTTAATGGATCTAATCTAGCAACAATCCAAGCTTTAGATTCGAGATTAATTTTGTGGATACTCATAATCGACGGAGTAAAGAAAAAATAGAATAAGAACGAAGAGAATAATAGTCAAGTATGAGCGAGTGCTACAAGGACGAGCAGAAAATTGCTGCAGTTCTGTATTTTGGCCACAGGGAGCAGTATCTTTAGAAAGCTGTAATGCCTTTTTTAAGGTCTTTCTTAATATATATTTTGCACAAAAAGTATTTGCTTCAAAACTAAATATTAAGCTTCAAATTAGATTTTTTTTAACTCAAATCTAAATATTTAGCTTAGCTTATATGAAATGTTACAAACTTTATCTTTTGAACTAAATATTTAGTTTGTAAAGTGTTATTTAATTTGAAGCTAAATTTAGTCAGTTAAAGAAACAATTTGTAACAAGCTATTTCACTTTAAAGCTAAATGCTTACTTTGAGAGCTAAATATTGTTCAAAATGTTTGTCTTATTACCGGCCTAGTTAGTTTTTAAGTCAAATATCCAGCTTTTCTGAATGAAAATTTAATTAAGTTTGCATATATATATATATATATATATATATATATATATATATATATATATATATATATATATATATATATATATATATATATATATATATATATATATATATATATATATTCAATTTCTGTATTAATCATTTTACTTACTTAATAAATCTTTAGTTTATAAAATTTGATATTTATAAATGTTTGAACTATGTGGTAAAAATATAACAGTGTGAAGCCCCTATTACTGGCTAAATAACCCAAAACATTGCTGTGATTATTTGAGAAGGTATCTTAACAAAAGGCATCCCATTAAATTCTATCCTGAAACATATATGCAGCTGCAAGCGTTTAAATTGACTGTATTTATTAAACGGGATCAAATACAGATTCTCATAAAGCAGTAAACCTTCCTGCTGTTCGAGGGTTTTTAAGCTATCTTAAATATATTATTGGAATGGACTGATTTGACCTATTTAGTCTATTTCTTAAATGGACTGAATAGATAGAATGCATGCTCACACTTGACTGAGTGCAACAAACCTAACATTATAACCTATGAAGTGCAATGAGAGCAAAGTGAATGTAGGGCAGAGAAGGTCAGTTTTATCAGTTGGGTGGACTAAGCTGGATAGAAGCATCAGGTTTATTTCCAAAATACTGAAGATGCCTGAGATTTACTTATCTTGTTCAATGCCCTCTGCACCAACAACATGAACTACAACCAGAAGTAAGATGGTCACAAAAAGCTTGTGCAAAGCTTAGAAATACTTGTTGATTCACAGCACAAATATGAAGGACTTCAATGTGTCAGGCGCTCTGCTTGTATAAAAGTAACAGAAATGTACAGAATGGTTTGGAAGGAGGTAAATAAGGACCATTTCAATCTGTAGCAAAACTACAATAATTAGCTACTTCACTGTTGTTAAAATCTGGTTGAAATGCTACATGCATTCTCCTTACTTTATAAAATAATTGAGGAATTTTTAAAGGTTACCTAAATCCATTCTGCATACATTTAATTTAACCAAAAAGACAGTAATCCGACGCAGACGCATTATGTTCAATACGTGATTCAAGTTGTGTGTAAAAGTTTATGATTAAAACTGATGAAAAAATATATTTACATTTTGTTTATATCCGGCTTTGTAATCCAGAGCAGAACCATTGGCCTGATTTATGGCAGGATAGCCTTAAACCCAGTTTGTAGTTTTTCATGTAGAAGTCAGAACATGTTGAAAAGATGCTCTGATCACATGAGAAGGAAATGTAATTATTTTGTTCAGCAAGGACAAATGATTATGAATGATTCTTCCATGGTACAATTTTTTTATTTATATATATATATATATATATATATATTATTTATTTTTATTTTTTTTTATTTATTTATTTTTGTATACATATATATATAGTTACATTAATACTATTAATTCCATGAACACAAAACTGTAAAAGTAGTAATAAATAATTTTTATCTAAATTATGATTTAGTGAAATATAGACTTTTTATATTTTTCTTAGAAAATATCTATTAAAAAACTCAACAATTCAACATCCATATCAAATTTTAAAAATTGATGTTCACAGATGTTTCTGTTCATCCTGAATTCAATTTACAGTTGTGTACTAGTTTGTGTTTGTCCATCAATAAAATAAATAATGATAAAAGTACATTTAAGTACAGTTAATAGTTGTATAGTTCAGGTTCAAAGCTTGTAAGGGATGAAGTCCATTTCTATTTGAAATGCTGTTAAATAAAACACAGATTTTATTTTTATTTTTTTGTGTTGAACAGACCAAAGCCAGTGGAAAGAAACCACAGAAGGTTTCTCTGAAGGTCTCTCCTCAAGGCCTCATGGTGTTGGACAGGTCTACCAATAAGCTTCTGGAAAGTGTTTCTATATACAGGTGTGTTTCTACAGCAGTGTTAACCTGCAGGTCAGAAAGTCTGTTAAACTTAAGCCATCACTCCATGTTTACAGGGTGTCCTACTGTACGGTGGACAAGGTGCATGATAAAGTGTTTGCCTACATTGCCCAGAACGCCCACAATGGGACACTGGAATGCCACGCTTACCTCTGCTCCAAGAGAAAAGTGGTATGTTTATCGTAACTTTGCTTCGTTGATTTTGCATACTTTTAATTTTTATAGGAGATCAAAGGTTGGGAATTATAAAATGCAAAATATTTGATTATATTGTACTCTTTATTTATTTATTTATTTTTTGTAATCTTATGTACATGCTTTTTCCTGTAAACATCTCTAGCCGGAAATTATGGAGTGAATTTTGTTCCATTATTGTTGCAAGCAAAGATTATGTTATGTAAACGGGAATTTAAACACAATTCAGTCCCAAAATTAAACTTCCTAGTTAATAAAAAATGTTTTGAGAGTAACTTGACTAGAGATGTCCCGATCCAGGTTTTTGCACTTCCGATCCGATACCGATATTGTTTTTGGACTTCCGATACCGATACTGGCCGATACCAGCCTATCCGAGCATGTATTTAAGTTTAAGTTAAAGTATTTAGCCTTAGTTGTAAGACTCATGTTGAAAAGGGTTTTAGTACTCTTGATAACATCTAGCCAGCTGAATTAGGTGAGATTGAATAAAACACAATGATTGGTAACAACAAACGTACCTGTTTATTAAGAGATAAACACAAACTGGACAAAATTACGAATAGCAATCTGAAATTGCACAGTGAACAGTAAAACCGTAAACAGTCAAAGGTGCTATATTACTGTAAGTTTTAATAAAAATGCAAAACGGGAACACTGGCGCAAAATAGTGGAATGGATCGTTTCAATCGGCGAAACTGGAAAATACGGACCAGATTTTTTTTTTAAAACTGGATCGGCAGTCTGGATCGGCATTTTACATGCTTTGCCGATACGCATTTTTCGCCAATATCGGCGTCCCGATCCGATACGTGGATCGGATCGGGACAAGCCTAAACTTGACTGTTTTTGTGAGATTTTATGCTTTCAAATATGTGTTCAAGTATAATTGTTTTCAGTTTTAGTTTTTTACAGATTTGATATTTTCACGTGTTTTTTTGTTTTTTTAAATGTAATTTTAACAAATTGCATTCTTTCCAAATTGCATGTTACAGATCACATTATCTTCAATTCTGAGTATTGTTTTTTTTTTTTTTAAGAATGAGGAGTAAAGACACATTTCTGTTTATCTGCATGCTTGTTAGCAATAACATTGTACTTGCCTTGAATGAAAGAGAATTTGATCTGTGAAACTCAATTTCAGGGAAATTAAATTTGTAATAAGCATTCCGAGAAAGAGACATTTTGAAAGTGAAACTTAAAAAAATGAAAGTGGTACAAAAAATTGAAACAATAAAGTGAAAAAAAACTTTGTAAAAGAAAAAAAAAAGAAGCTTGAGAAAATGATGGAACAAAATGCACTCCATAGTTTTAACCTGTTAGGCTCAAGAATCAAGACAGAAACATTTTGCAGAAGAGGAATAAAAAAAAAAAAACACTTGTAGAGGATAATAAAACACGTATAAGAAAAACATTTCTACCACCAATCCTAAAAGACTCTGCTTTTGTGTCAGAAAGTCATTCTAATTAACCTTTACATCTTCTATTCTTATATTCCTTTTTTTTTCATTAGATCATGATATTACAGACTTCCTTACTAGTAGTTGGCGTTTATTCAGGAAATTATTATAACCCCAGCTGATGGCCTACTCAGTTTCCTGCACTCTTAAACCAGACATATTAGTGTAATACTGTTTTTGATGTAGAAAAAGATGGACTTTGATGAGGTGACCAGCAGCTGAGTGGGCGATCAGGCTGTGTTAATGCACAGAGGCTGGGCATCACAGCCTTTGGCTAAGAGGGGCTTAGTGCTGAACTCCAGGGAGTTACTTCGTCATTGCTTTTTTTTCTCCTAACACAATGGATTATTTATAGCTGCTCCTTCCATTCAGACAACAAAGCAGCAGATCTAGTTCCAGGACTCCGGATGCTGCTGCGAAACTTTGAGTGGAAAACCAAAGCACCACACAAGAGCAAGTCACCACAGAACGTGAATGCGGAGTGGTGGAAAAGACACAAGCTTTAATGCAAAAAATAGTGCAGTTTGCTTGTTTGATTATAAAAATTTTGTTGAGGAGAAGAGCAAGAGGAAAAAATATTTAATTATTTATTCTAATCAATATCATCCAAATCAAATAATTAAGGTAAAACTAGTGAATTGTCCTTATTATAATTATCATTATCTTAATTTACCTCATTGTTTAGATTTTTAGCTGATCTCTCTTCTTAATTTTAATCAGAACTCTGGCTGCAGCATTTTTGGATCAGCTGAAGGCTTTTATCTACAATTTTTGGGACTTCTAGGCGCAGATGGAAACATCACATATTCATACAGAGATCAATAAACAGCAAGTTTAAACAGCGGGACATAAAGTCAGAGCATGAAGTAGTTGAGCCAACTTAGCAGGCCTGAGCAAGCTTTCAACTTAACCAACTGTTAATGTTCAAACATGGGGTGCTTTCAAACCATAAGCTACAGAGGAGCATTGGACGTTGCTCTCACGGGTCTGTTATCATCTTTGCTGTCATTCTGTTCTGGTGTGTATGCTGGGAGGTGTTGCTACAGACTCTTTGGTCTGGTTAGTTCTAACAAAGTATTTGTTCACCAATCAACTAATTAAAAACAGGCATCCAGAGTGTTTGCACAATTATTTGTGGAGTAACTGTAAGTAATGTGATCAATTACATTAGACCTGGGTTCACTGAAGGTCATTGAAGATTTGGGATTTGGCCCAGCTAGTGCTAAGTTGACTCTAATAGTCTTTGAAGGAAGCCAAAAATGAAGGTGCTTCCAAGATCTTCTTCCATTGTTAAAGCCATGGCCGGCGTCTCTAATAGGAAACTCTCAAAATTCAAGTGAAACGTTCAACAAGTGAAACGTTACTCAGCAATTATATAAGGGGCTTCAATTCTGCCATTTTCTTCTTCCCTCTCCTGTTTCCTTCAGGCACAGGCAGTGGCTCTTACAGTCGCCCAGGCATTCACTGTAGCCTTTGAGCTCTGGCAGGTGGCAAAAGAAGGTGGGCCAAACGTAATCCTTTTTTTCCTGCTCTGGTTCTGCTTAAAGCACATTGAGTCTGATGATGGCAGATCTGGATGCTCCTTATGATTGGTGTCTTGATTTTTTATTATTATTTTTTTGTGTAGAGAAAGGGGAGAGAGTAAAGTCTGGATCTGCAGGAGATGCCAGCAGCAGTTCCCTCTCCGAGAGGTCCAACAGTTTAGGGAGCCTGAAAGGAAACAGTAAGATAGAACCAACTAATTTGATTCCCTCTGCATCTGATACTGTAGAATGATTAACCTGTCCTTCAGTTCTGCCAGTTTTTTTTTGTTTTTTGTTTTTTTGTTTAACATGCTCAAAAATGTCATACATTAAAATAAAGTCATATACGCCACATTTTAATTACACTACTACTGTTTTTATACAGGCAACATTCAAATATTTTGGGAAAGTCCCTAAAATAGCTACTCTATGCAGACGTTCAGTCTGTACTAATGAAGTTTCATTCACCTCAGCATGCTGTTTGCTTGGAGTAGATGTAACATTGTTGATTACTTGACCTTTTGGAGCACTTTAGTGGCTACATTGAACTTTCCGCCCAAGAAGGTTTTATGGTTCAGTAGATCCTGGAAAAGTAACACTACCACAAAAGCAGCTGACTCTGTCCTGATACAGTAACACACAACCATTCCGGGGACGGAAACATAAGGGTGCCTAATGAGAGCGGTTTCTTTTTCCTCTGGATCAGATGCAACCACAGAAATTCTTTTGGACCTGGAGTGTGGTGTGAAGTTGGTTGTGGAGAATAATGGGAATACAGACCAGGATCAGCTGGCTAACCAGGGCTCCTCCCAGACCAACAACAGCCCTGCCTCGGTATGGTCTTCTTCCACTGTGCCATCTGTGTTTCTGTTGTTCATCCTGATTTCAGTTTGATTCTTAAATTATTTGCTACTTTGAAGGCTATTTGAAAATAAGTGCAGATTTCTCAGGGAAATTGAGGCATAAAGTTAATTAAAGAAACTATAAATGAGAAGAAACCATATTTAATCCTGATCATTTTGGTCTTTCAGGAAGTTGAAGACGGTTTGGACGAAGCTTTTTCCAGGTGAGATATTAGCTGTGAAGCTTTTTATTTATTCAAAATTAATCCATGGTGATTCTTGCTGCAGCTTCTTAGCATGATTTTTTCCTCCCCCATTATGAAATTTAGCTTCTCAAATCAGTTTTACTCACACTTCTCCGTCCTGCTTGGCTTCAGGCTGCCACCTGCTGACGATTTCTGTGAACTGCAACATGGAAACCTCACAATTCTCTATTTTCTCCACAAATTTTAAACAATAACAGGCAGTTTTGTTGAAAGAGGTTTAACAATTAGGACAACAAAGCATGTTATTAGTGTGCTGTGCTCAATCTGCTGTGTCTTTGTGTCTCCAGCTCTGCTCTGGATAGCTTTGGTTCATTTGCAGGTAAAGTAGAGCATCACAGTCAATCATAAGCTATAGTGTGGTAGTCTTAATCACTAACCTAACATGATTCTGTTTTATTCAATCACTACCAAACCTAATAGAACTGTCTATGAGTCAATGAAATGTGCTAGTAGTTAGATTTAGCTCCTTTATGTTTTGTTCAGACTCTGAGGGATAAATTGTTTTTATTTGAAAAAAGACGATGATGATTTTAAAGGGGTCGTAGAATGATTCTATAGGGTATTTGGTGCTGGTCCTTAAGGTCTTTGAATAGGGTGTGTAACATTGGTTGGGCTGAAAATGGCATATTTGCTGTTCTATGAGCCCTAATGCAAGCCTGGTTAAAAGCACTAGAATAAAACGACAGGTTTTCTCCCTTTTAAGGTATGCTGATGAATATTTAGATGAGCTGTGCGCTGATTGGTGGGTTTACAACAAGCGAAGCTGCTGAGCAAAGTTGCATCATAGCGACAGCACTCAATCACTGAAACATTAAATTGTTGAGATGGTAGGGTGTCCTTCTTTCATATCTAAAAAAAATTTGGGGGGGAATTTTTTAAAGTCGGGATTTTGGTCGACTACAGGGCAGTACGTAGTCGAAACACACCGGGCATTCGAACCGAGCCATCAGCTTCGGGGCTGGTCCAGGAACCCCGGCGGACGGGGGCAGGGAGCCAGCGGGGGACGGAGCGACTGAACCCGACCCAGTGACAATAGACTGGACACAGGTGGCCCCGTGCTTACCCCCCGCCTGCCTTACCGCCCCCCCCAGCCCCCCTCCTCCAGCTGAGGACAGGTGGCTCGTGGCTCGTGGCGCGATCCAGCAGTCGACACTTCATCCTCCTGAGTTGAGTCAACTCTGGGCTTTGTTTGAATTCGCCCATTTTATGGTGGAAGTTTAGAATTGTGAGATTTGCAGAAAAAGGAGGTTTTGATGGGTTTTGAACTTCTCTGTACGTCCATTTCACCCACTGAACTATCGTTATTCATCTATGACAATGTAAACTCGGTTTTGCATTCCACGACCCCTTTAAAGTTTCTTGGTCTTTATCACATTATGTCTTATTACAACCACAAGCTCTGATGCATGTACATGAAGTATTTATCTGTTAAGTGGAATGATAGTTATATTTTTATCTTTTAGCAAATAGAAATCTGTTAACTCTGAAGTGCATTTTATTATGATACCCCTAAATAAAATCCAGCTCAATCTAATGCCATAAGAAGGCAGGTTATTGGTGAACAGAATCCAGTTGGAAGTGATTTAATCTCAGTATAAATCCAGCTCATGTGTGAAGGTCCAGGGTAACTGGAGATTATTAGTGAACAAACACAATCATGGAAACCAAAGAACACAAGAGAACAAGCAGGGAGGTTAGAGAGGTTTTTATAGTGTGGTGAGTCATTCCTTAGTTAAACATAGACACTATGTCAGAATCTCTGGTGAAAGCAGATTGAAAACATTTCTACAAATGTCAAAAACAAAAGTACAAGAAGGTGAACTGGTGAGTAAAACCTCCATTAAAAGATAGTCACAGAAAAACTCACTGTCAACTGTCCACCTGGAGGCCTAATCTATAATATACGAAATTAATCCACGAGGTTTTGAAAATAATGACAAATTTCCACATTTTTAGATGGCACCAAAATTTGACGCCTTGCTAAGTCCTCACCAAAGCCTCGCTCAGCCTCTGTAAATTGACCTTCATTTTCATATAAGTTTGGCCCTATTCACGGTCCTTATAAAAGGTTTATATAGACTAAAGAGCAGAAACCTTTTTTTCTTCCTTTCCTCCTCTGCAGCTACTTTGATACTTACGCTACTAATGAAATCTACCAAGTGTAATTTCAGTTTGGTTTCCAATATTATTTAACTGTAGGTAATTGCTGGAAGTCTGTGGTGTCTTTAGGGGAGCCACAAAGATCCACTGTTCAGATGAAGAATCTGTTTACGGCTTAAAAACCAGCTGATGAAAGCAAGTCCGACGCTTTTGTCATTAAGCATGCATGTAGGTGACGATCCTAAAAAAAAAAAAAAAAAAAGTCCCCTCATCGTCAGATGAGGAAAAAAATACAAACTTTTGAGACCTGGATGCAAATCTTAATCTGCAAAGAAAAGTGAAATCCCCAGAGCCACAGGTGGCAGCATCATACATTAGATAAAGTTTTTCTCTTGCAAGCATGCTGCAGGTTAAAAGGGAGCAATAGTGAAATAATTCTTATTAAGGGATGTTCAAGCATGAAAACTGGGGCAGGGGTTCACCTCCCAGCGCTATGATGTCACTAAACAGGCAGCAAGTCACAATGGATGTAGTCTAGATAAGTCTTTCTCAAACAGTGCTGCACATACCAGTATCATTACACTAGCCCCCCCTGCTGGTATGCAGAGAGCTCAAGGCATTTTATAGAACTCTAGAGTTGTATTTAATTAGAAACATATATTTTTAAATATTAGTGTTTTGATTTTCTGTGATTTCTCTTCATTTATTTTTTAGATGCAGTTGTGCTTGAAAATTTACATACACGTCCAAAAAAAATCAGCTGCCAATAAAGTAAAATGATTAAAAAAATTATAATAAAATTCAGAATAAATATTTTTCTTTACAAAATTATCTTTTGGTCCTTTTTTAAGATATTTCAGCTTGGTGGTTTTTAAATTACTAGGGTAAATGTATAACTTTCTTTAATGAAAGGGGATGTAAACTTTCAAGCATAAATGTAATTTATTCCTTTTGTGGCTTTTGTTATGAGCCAGTTAATATGCAGTCACTCACATCCACCTCATTAGCTTCTGATTAAAATCCTCCTGCCATGTTCTTACACTTGTTAATGACTCAGATATACTTTTCCTTATTCCTGTTATTCTGTTCACTAAAGTCATTTTCAACAAAGCAGTTAAAATGATTAGTTTTTTGAACAAGTACAGTACTGTCATTAAACATAAAATATGTGTAGTTGTGGAAGTAAAGCCCTAATAAACAGTTTTCAGATACATAAAGAAAAAAGATCTTTGTCTCACAAACAATTACTGCTGCAAAATACACATATATTGCTATAGTTCATTGTCCGATATTATGGTGGTACTTGAAGATCCCACATTCGTTTGAGGGGGTTAAAAACTTCTGAGTAGCATTGGTGTGTTAGAAACCCCCACAGTGCAAAAAAAACCTAGAAATAAGTAAACACATTTTATATTAAGTTTATTTACCCTTAATTTCAGTAGGTAAATAAGATCATTTCCAATGGAATTAGTATTTTACTCCTAAAATGAGATAATTAGATAAGATGCACTTGAAATAAGACAAAGCAATAGTTTCTTTTCTTGTTTTAAATGTAAATTGTGTTCTTCCATTGCAAAGTGTCTCACTTACTTCCACAATTTAAGAAAAAATGCACAAATTCTAGGAAAAGATTACCTTTTTAGATTTGGATTTTTTTTCCAGTGAACTCTCACTCCATCTAAGAAACTGTAGTAAAACTGAAAACTCTTATTTGAAATGTTCACCAACCTGATTGGGGTTGATATGTTTAGAGAGGAACAGACAAAAATAATCAGCTAGTTGACGGGCTGATTGATGCATCTCCCAAAAGATTTGCATGTGAAATCAGCTAAAGGTGGTTCAAAGAGAAGTTTTCATTGATTCAGGACACACTTTTCAGATTATTTGGTAAAAAAAAAAAAAAAATTTCCTTTGATCATAAATCCTAACAACATACTCTGAATTTTGCGGTTGTAACATACTGCTTATCTTATGATCAATGTGTGAGCTGCCTTCAGGAACTACATCACCCCTTTATTTATTGTTAAACGTTTCCTGTGATTGAGTGGCTTGTCTAAAAGCGCACATTTAATCCCAGTAAACCGAATGTGTTGTTTTTGTAACATTATTATCCTTAGATTGATGTTTGTATCAAATCCGAGTCACATTCCAACAGAACATATGACCAGGGTTTAGATGCTGAAAACACAGTGGGGAATGTAATTTGACATTTAAACTAAAGTTCAATCTTTATTGCCTTAAGGCTTTATAGCGCGATGAAAGAAATGACCAATGAGATGGAAACTCAACTACTTCCTGTTCTCACACACAAGCTGATCAGGAAGAAACAAATTTTTCCCACATGCCATTTAAACCGAACCTGAAAATGCTGCTAAAACAAACATCTCCCAGGGTTCCTCGTGTTTCTCATGTTTTTGTCTCAGTTAAAATAACAATGATTTCCATCATTTTAACCCATAAATCATGTGCTGAGCTTCAATTGCCTGATTGATGTTTTACTTCAAAGTTCAGTTCCCGTATGCGCAAAATCCTTTGGTAACTATGGAAACAAATCTTTATCTTCTCTTGCATCCCACAGCCTTAAATACTTGCATGTAGCAACTAGTAAGGGTGTAATCCAATATTGCAATATTTCATTGGATGATATTGTTGTTGATTGTCTTTCTACCCTAAAGGGCAAAGTGAAAAAGGAAAAATCTTGGTAAGAACAATTCTGAACAACAAGAAGTTGTTTTTCCCTTAAAAGGGAGTATTTTTTCTTACCCTAAAGGCAAGTGGAAATAAAGAAAATAAAAGGAAAATACTTTAATGTTTTTTATTTATCCTTTATTTTGACACTATGGGCAAAATAAAAACACAGACTGTGTTATTCACCTGGACAGAGGCTATGTTTCCAAGAATCAATGTCCTAATTTTTTAGAAAAAAAAATTAAGTTTAATTTTCAGTAATTTTTCATCTAGCTGTTACAACTGAAATATAAGCAAATATATTCATTAAAGCATTAATATTTGAATTGTTGCTTGTACCTATGTCTATTTTTATAATAATAATAATAATAATACATTTTATTTAAAAAGCTGCCTTTCTGGGCACTCAAGGTCACCGTACAAAAGCATAAAAACAGTGTCAGAAAAAATAAAAATAAAAACATTTAAAAGCATTTAAAAAATACAGAGGCTGTGACAGTGAAATTGATATTTAAGAGAATAAGCAATCTT